CGACATCTCAGTCCACCTCGAACAAGCCTTATCCAGATTTTGGCCTGATAAGTCTCCACGACTTGTCAGCTCAATCACTTCCCTAAAAAAAGTAGAGACATCCTCTCCAGAGCTGAAGTGACTTTCTCTCCGGTCGCCAGCCAACGTCTGTAAAGCGAGGGACACCTCAGAATGCCCATGTGCCTTCTGCCACGCTCACAAGTCACTTCCCAGATATCGCGGAGACGCCATCTTCCATGCTGAGATGACTTCCCCTTCAGTCATCAGCCGACACCTGTAGAGCGAGGGATAACTCACCTTCCAGCTCACACTTTGTCACCATCATTCCGCATGACCAAAATAACCAATCTACCATGAACATCCACCCTATATATGGATGCTATTCACCAAGAGCGTGAGGTGAGTAAAAGATAGAGAGTAAAAAAAACAAGCAATCTAAATCTTCCTCCTGACCCAATCTAAGAGATGATCATCTCTAATGCACATAGCATAAGAACACATAGTTCTAAACTCTACTCAAGCTCATGTTCATCAACTGACTTGATCGTCAGAGGAACCACAGGGGAACCAGTCCCTACCCCCTCATGAGTTCTTTCTGACTGTGCAGCGCAGATTTTAGACCCCTATTCAAGAACAAAGCATAAAGTCGAAGAAGGGAACGGGCCCTCCATCATCCTTCATCACCCTATAATAATCCTCTGTTAGACCCTAAAGGGGGGGGGGGGGGTTAGGGTAAGGGGGGGGGGGGTGATTAGGGTTTTATGCTAATCTAATCTGATTTTATGCCAAATAAAACTTATTAACAAATTATTCTTATAAGATAGATATACAAAGTGTTATAAGCAAGAATAAACAATATGAACAAATGGATATATCCTAGCAATGAGATATAATATGAAATATATGCAAGGATATATAAATATCACAAGGATAAACAATCTAAACTAAAGATACAACTGTGATAGGATAATATAAACAATGCAAACACACAATATGATCACGGAGTTCGGACCTTTCGTCCTACGTCTCCGCTCCCTACTCCCGGGGAGAAATCCACTATCACAACCGGGTTTTCTACGCTAACCCGAATAACGTTTACACCACACAATATCAGTTTTCAACGCTTACCGATCAATGATCACAATCTCATAATGTAACTACACTCCATACCCTCTAAGTGTTGGTTTCTCTGTGTCCTTCCTCAAGTGCTCGGATACAACCTCTCCCTAGGTTCGTCAACCGACGCCACTCCTCTTGGAAACAACTTCATCTCTCACCACACACTCCTCTCGGTGTACTAGTGTAATACAAAGTGAATCTCACAATTAGGCATGATACAAAGAGATTGTTCTCTACAATGAATGAGAACAAAATATAAGCTCACTCTCTAGGTTACACGATCCCACAACCCAATTATACTATGAATGTAAGTATAATAAGCTCAATGGTTGTGTGTGTGTAAACAAAGAGAAATAAATCAAAACTAAACTCAAGATAATTCTAGCTTAATAACAATGAAAATCAAATATATAAAAGAGCTAGAAATAGAGTTTAGAAAATTTCTTAATAGATCAAGAGATCAAGGAAGAGTAGTTGGATGCTCAAGCACCAATAGGATCTCCTCAATCTCTGGTGAAATTGATTTCACAAACTCAAACTCTCAAATGCTTAAAAGCTTCTTAAACAAAAAAACAAAATAAGCTTAAACCCTTGTTAAACTCTTTTAACATATTCTCTTAGTAGCTTGTGAAGGATGAGAGCAAGGGGGTATATATAGCCACTCAAAACCTCAGCCAAAAACCCAACAGAAATGACCAAAAAGCCTAAGGAAAACAGCTCAGGAAAAGAGCTGTTGGAACCTGATTGACAGATCGGCGGTCGACCGTAGAAAATGCGCGGTCGACCGCTAGCAGCTGCAGATCAGAAACAGAGCTTTGGCTCTGGACATCAGCCGGTCGACCGTAGCGGTCGACCGCGAAGCTCTCTGGATTGCATCCGATTGACCGTCACGGTCGGCCGCGAGACATCAAAAAACAATTTTGAGTCTCTGGACTCAAGGGCGGTCGACCGCAAACTGACATATGACAATTACAAGTTTGAAACAGTTTTTCTGACTTTAAAACCCTGTTTAAAAATATCAAACAAATTTAGAAAAATGTAAAACTTTGAAAATGATTGTAGACATGATAATACACATGCTACAAAAACTGGTTTTCAAAAAGCATCTCCCAAATGAGAAATCTCCTCATTTTATAAAATAGTCCAAAACATGAAAATGTAAACATATGAGTTTTGACATTTTAGCTTAACCATGTTTTGAAATATTACAAAATGATTATATAGACTTAATAAAAGATGTATATGATTTTTATTATGTCCATAAACCAAGAAAACAATATTTTCACAAAATTGCATATTATGCAAACATTTCAAAAGTAAATATGATTTTATTAAACTAAATAAAATTAAAATCATATATATGCATGTAAGTATGAAACAAAAATATATTTTTTATGAAACAAAAATATGTTTTCTAATTATATTCAATTGTTTCATATTAAAACTTTAAAACTATCAAACCAAAACATGTATGTATATATATAACTATATATATATACAAAATCAAAACGTGTATGTGTGTATATGATTGAGCTTAAAGTACTAACACACATAATATAAAACCTAAAACTAAATTTATCCAAGCTTGTGATCTTCAATGAAGCTCTATCTTGGTACACTTGCGAATGAAGCTTGAACTTGAATCTTTAACTTTGAATTACGTAGGCTTCACTCCATAATTCCGCCAACCTCCACTGGATATGATCGTGAATGCGCAATTCCATCCATCCTCCAACACGTTGTTTGTCTACAATAAATAGAAATACACAAATACTAGACAAACAACATTAGTGGTAAATTGTTTGTTAAACATCATCAAAACAAAGAGGCCAACATCTTCTTCTGGATTAATAGTCTGTTTGATATCGGACACCAACACTACTTTATCCCCCTATTACAAAACACTCTCTAAGGTGATCCTAGACCAAAATTTGAATTTTGAATTGGAATAGGAAAATATGAAAATTTCTTTGAATTTGAAGTATTTAGAAATACGACATTATATATTATCCATAAATCGTTGACTTTAGCATTAATTAGTGGGGTTTTAGACCGATTTTTTTTTTATGACAAGGGAAACTTGGTCACCCCAGCTTAGTTTAACTCCTTCGGAGCCCCGCCAGCTTTAGACCGATTTGGACAGGGGCGGATCCACCCTTGTTCAAGGTGGTTCACTTGAACCACCTCAGATTTTCAAGAAACCTTATATATTATATATATCAGTAACAATACAAAACATATCTACAGCCTAGTGGTCGAAGTTGGTTAAGAACTTATGCAAGAGATCTGGAGATTGAATCTCCTAGCCTTCAAAACTTTAATTTTTAACTTAACTTTTCTATTTTATGCTTCTTTTCTTTTTTTTCTTCCCCTATATTTCTTTTTTTCTTCTTTTTCTTTCTTTTTATCCCTTTGTTCCGTCTACTCCTTTAAGGCTTTCTATAAAATTTTTTTATATATATAAGCCAAATCATTGCTTAAAAAAAGAAAATTTTCCCCTTTTAATAACTCTTTCTTTATTATTTTTTCTCTATTATTTGAAAAAAAATTAGTGTGTATTTTGAACCACCACTGAAAACGTCGTAGATCCGCCACTGGATTTGGATCTTCGTTTTTTACGTTTTTTTAACATAGACTGCTCAATTTGTTGCAGCAACACAATCCTCTAAAAGTTACACCAATTTCTCAAAGAAATCCTCTATTTTTTTTTATTAGAACAGCAGGCGTGCTCATTAATTCATCCGGATTTTATTGTCTGAATCTTATCATGCAATAGCCCTAATGTATTTCCCGTACTAAAAGTAATTAGCGATATTTCCATTGTACTTAATAGGTTGTCTCCTGCCATTTTTAAAATATTTTTACTTTGGAGTCATTACTTTTTACCGAGCTCTTCTATCTACAATTTTATAGCAAAGCCCTCCTAAAATTTAAAAACCGAGGACCTAGATGTTGCATTCGTAGCTTTCCCCAAACCCACGACCTCCCTGCGCGACTTGTCGTATCACTTCCGCATGACAGAAATAGAAAGCATCCAATTCTCGTCACCTCCCGTACACTCACTTCCACTCATCTCTAACGTAAAAACACTAAAGCCAACGGTTAGATAGCTGGCTTTATAGTGATTAGATCCCCGTTAAAAAGCAACAAGACAAGGTGAGGGAAAATAAATTAAATTCTCTCTGAAGAAATTTTCTTCTTTTTAAAAACCCAAATTAATTTATTTTTTAAATGCACCAATTACAAAGTTATTTTAAAACCAACTTCCTATACTTTTAAGTATTGTTTATGGCATTTAAAAAATACAACAACTTGCTCCAAAGTATACAAAACTAAATGAAACGATAAGAAAAATGACTGAGCCATCTATTTTTTTCATTTTTCCGAGTGAAAAGCAATCTGAAATTACCTTGAAAGTGTATATTGCTATATTTATTTTAACAATTGTTTCACTTTCTTAAATTTTATATTAGGTTGATTGAAAGTGAATTATAAAGATAGAAAAATTGTTTTCTATTATATTTCCTTATTATTTAATTTTAATTATATTTACTTTATATTGTTCACTTTTCATGATTAAACAAGCATAACTTAAGACAAAAAGAATGTCACATTAGCTGTCACCTTAATTTCAATTACTTGCTGTCTATCGTCAAAAAAAGATTTGTAAATAGAAAATAACAATAAATTAATTCTTAAATAATTACTTCCCCCAATTTTTTATTTGTAATTACTTTCTGCTTGCTAAGCACTCCCTTGCTAGTGAAATATAGAAACTGATACAGAAACAATCCATTAAGAAAGATTTTAAAGTGGATGGTCTTCAAAATAAACTGTGCTAAAGAGTTGGGTTTATAAATAAAAGCCCAGAAAGAAAAAAACCCCCCAACTCCTGCTTCCCTCGAACACTTCACATTGTTCTTTCAGTCCTTTGAAAGACACACAGAGAGAAAGTTGTAGAGAGAGAAACTACAGAGAGGAACTACACAGAGAAAGGTTGAGTCTTTGTTAAGAGAGAGAGAGAGAGAATGCAGCAGCACCTGATGCAGATGCAGCCCATGATGGCAACCTACGGTTCACCGAATCAGGTCACCACCGATATCATTCAGCAGGTCTCTCTCTCTCTCTCTCTCTCTCTCTTCTTTCTCTCTCTTTAATGATGTGGGGCTGGCTTATTTTGGGAAAAAAGATGGTCTCTCTCTCTCTCTCTTCTTTCTCTCTCTTTAATGATGTGGGGCTGGCTTATTTTGGGAAAAAAGATGAGATTTTTATGGCTAAAGATGGGATTTTTTTGGGTTGTCTGAATGACCCATTTCAAAATGTGGTGGCTTGTTGGGGTTTTTTCAAGGTTTCTTTGTGAATGGGTTTGTTGTGTTTTGCTCAATCTCATTGCCTCTCAAATTGGTGAGTGTTTTTTTTTACTGGATTTTAAAAAAAAATTTAACTGCAGCAGTTTAATGTTTTTGTTTTTATTTTTATTTTTATTTTCAAGTGGGAAAGCTTTCTAAAATGGGTTGGTATTGTTCTTGAAATAAGCAAGTCGTTTTTTCATAAAAATAAGTTTTTGATGGAAGAGTTTGGGGTTTATGTAGGGTTTTGTTGCTGGTGAGATCCAGGTCGTGATGTTTCTAAATCAATTTGTATACTCTGAACAGGCCATCAACTTTGTTTGTTTGTTCTTTTCTCATATCTTTATAAAAATATTTCTATTTTTATCCTATTGCCAGTACCCTTGTGGTCTAGCAAATCCCTCTTTGTTGATGTTACTGTTGATACTGTATACTCTAATCTCGCTGTCTGAGATCACAGAGATCATGGGATCGCTGTCTTTGATTTTTGCACGTCTCTTTCCCCTTTGAAAGGGGTTAGTGATTATATTGTTGGATTTAAATCTAATTAAATCTATTTGTGGGCACATATGATTAATCAATGTGTATTGCTATCTTTAAAGATAGCCCACTTAAAGTGATCAATCAATTTGGGTTAATGGGTATTTAAATAAATCATATGGTTATATGTGCAGATACCAGGTTGTAAGGGGCTGTTCGTTTCGCAAAAGAGAAAGGGAAATCAAAGAATAGGAAACCTATTTCCTATTATAATTGTTTTGAGGTTGTTTGGTTGGTTTAAAAAAAATGAAATTATAAAATAGGAGATGGGATGAGATGAGTTGTCACCTTATTATTGGATGATGTGAGTGATTTTTAAAAAAAATTGTTTTGATGTTGTTTGGTTGGTTAAAAAAATAAGGAAATGAATTGGAGGTATATTATTGGATGATGTTTTGATGTTGTTTGTGTTTGGTTCGTTTTTAAAAATAAGAAAATAGATGAGATGAGTATTGGATGATGTTTTGATGTTGTTTGTGTTTGGTTCGTTTTTAAAAATAAGAAAATAGATGAGATGAGTTGGAGATATATTATTGGATGATGTGACACATACTTAAGGAAATCAATTTCTTGTTTTTTTTTGAGGAAATGAATGGAAAGGAAGGTTTAATGAGATGAGATGAGTTGTCACAATATTATTGGATGATGTGTGTGATTTTTAAAAATGAGATAAGAAGAGATGTGATGAGTTGGATGATGTGACACATTTCTTTTGTTTGGTTTATTTTTAGAGGTAAGAAAAGAGATGAAATGAGATGAGTTGGATGATAAAAATAATATTTTATTAGATGTTATGGGTGAGTTTTAGGGATGGAAATGGGTAAAAATATTATTTTATTAATTTCCTTGTACCGATTTCCTTTTCTTTGATTTTAGGAAACCAACCAAACGGGCCCTAATTGTAATTTGATGAGGGGTCAAATTACAAATGTATAACACCTATATATATGGGGTTATGGTCCCTAATCTAGGGTTAACCACTCTCATTCTCTTAGCCCCATCTAAAGAGAGTCATAAGGGAGAAACCCTAAGATTAAAAGATCATCAAAACCCTAACTCAGATTTAAGTTATGGATTCAGGTATAAGTTTCCACTCTTAATGTTTATTTTCTATGATTTAATCACGTTTATGTCCTTCACGTAGTATCAGAGCCACCCGTGATTAATTCTTAGGGGTTTAAGTTTCTAAAAATTGGGTTTTTTAATCTTGAATCTTTGTTTTCAGAACTGTTCACGGATGAACAGTAAAAGTTTATTTTTTGGTTGAATTTTCTTTCGTTTTTGGGATCTATAGCACTCATGAACTGTAAAGTTCAATTCTTTTTGGTTTGATTCCATTTTTTGAGGCTTGGATCTGAATGATTGAGTTCAAAATCGAAAGAAAAATGGATTTTTTGCTTTGGTTCATCATCTTTCTCCAACTGCTCGCCGGAGTTGAATCGACGGCAGACCCACTGTCAGTGGTGGCGGCGGTTTTCAGATCGAAACCCAAAAAGGGGTTCGTTAGCTGCAGCCCAAACGGCGGCGGCGGTTCAGTTCTAAACCCTAATGAGTGAAAGGAAAATTAGGGCAAGAGGAGGAGGTTACCTCGATTTTGGGCGAGGTTCGTGCTCGATTTCAGGTGAGCTTCGTGCTCAGTTCAAGCAAGCCTCGGGCTTAAAAGCTTCAACGAACCTCGTGTTTGTTTTCTGACGAGCCTCGTGCTCGACTCCAGTTAAACCTCGTGTTCTAACTCTTGATGAACCTCGTGCTCAATTTTAGCGAACCACGTGTTCGAATTCAGTGAACCTCGGGTTCAACTCAAGTAAGATCAAACCTCGTTGTAGACGAGCTCGACGTTCGGATCTCAGGCAAACCTCGGGTTCGAAATCGAGCTTTAGATCTACTCGAGTTTCGTCTGCTCATCTGGGAACTTCAGGCGAGCTCTTCAAGGGTCGAGCGTCAGCTGAGCTTCGGCTTGGGTGCTTGACCTTCGTCGGCTCAATTGGGAAGTTCACTCGAGCCTTGTGCTCATTTTCAGGAGAGCTTCGGCTCTGTATCGAGCCTCGTGTTCACTGCGGTCGAGCTTCGGCCTCCCCTCTGACTAACTTCGGTTCGTGTTCGGTGCAGGGGAGAGTTAGCAAAGCTTCGGCCTTTTTTTTAAGACAAACCTGGATTTTTTATTGTTGTGTTGGTTCGTTGGCTAAAAGGAAAACGAAGGCAACTCCTTCTTTTGGGGTTTCTGGTTCTTTGGTTGGACTAGGGCACAAGCCCACTTAAGTCTCTTAAGTTTTTTTAGGTCTGGACTTGAATTTATCTAATTGAGTCCATTTGGTTATGGGCCTTCAATTAATTTTGGTTTAATTGAATATTTCAATTAAAACTTGTGTGCCCTTGTTTAAGTATGGGCCCAATTTTAGTATGCTTAATTTAACTAATTAAGCAATGAGACCCTATTTAAGCTATGAAAATTTAAATTAATTTAATTTAAATTTAATTTGGTAGTTAATCAATTATTTAATTCAAATATTATGACACTAAGGTATTAAGGTTGTTTCTTACTCCAATTGATTAATTAAAACAAGAAGTTACCAAAGTAACCTCTCTTGTGTAGATTGTTCATGAGAAATGTGATATGTTTGTGTGTATGTTTTCGTGTAAATATTTAATCGGCCAAAAGGAAGGTTAATATTTATTTAGACTGCATACACATCTGCGATGATAATTGTGTGACAATTATAAGGTCTATATGTAAATAATGAATCGATCCAAAGATAGTTTCATTATTTGACATGAGTTATTGTCTATGTTTGATCATTGCAATAATGTATCACTAACAATTAATATTACTGTCTAAAGACTTGATATTAATGTTGTGTCGGATATCTTGAGATGGGATTTGTCATTCTTTGAATTTTATTGATTACTAATTAATGTTAAAATCCTTTGTTTATTTCAGCTAATGCATCTGCTGCAATAATTTCTGCTAACATCAATTCAATTCCCATGCTTAATGGGACTAATTTAAAGGTTTGGAAGAGAACATATTAATTGTTCTTGGCTGCATGGATCTGGACCTTGCATTAAGAACTGAACAATTCTAACCTCTCAATGCGAATAGCACTCCTGATGCAAAGAAGGAGTATGAGAAATGGGAGCGTTCAAACCGCATGAGTCTTATGATCATTAAGCGCGATGTTCCGAAAGCCTTCAGGAGTATAGAATCCGAAGGGATTACTAATGCCAAAGATTTTCTTGTCGAAATTGAGAAACGTTTTGCGAAAAACGATAAGGTAGAAACAAGCACGATTTTAGCTCATTTGATTTCGATGAAGTATAAGAGCAAAGAAAATATCAGGGAATATATTATGGAAATGTCTCATATTGCTTCAAAACTTAAGACGCTTAAACTCGATCTTTACGATGAGTTATTGGTGTATCTGGTTCTGTTGTCTCTTCCTGCACAGTTCAGTCAGTTCAAGGTCAGCTATAACTGCCAAAAGAAAAAATGGACTCTAAATGAGCTCATTTCATACTGTTTGCAAGAAGAAGACAGGTTGAAGCAAGATAAGACAGAAAGTGCTTATTTAGCATATGCCTCTAAGGATAAGAGCAAGAAAAAAAAGATTGATAATGAAGCTGCTAAGGGTTCAGTTCAGAAGAAACAATATAAGGATAATTAGAGTTGTTTCTTCTGTAACAAGCCTGGATACGTAAAGAAGGATTGTACCAAATATCACGTCTGACGTGCTAATAAGGGTACGCTCCTTACTTCAGTTTGTTCTGTGGTTAATTTAGCTTCAGTACCTAGAAATATTTGGTGGTTAGACTATGATGCTACTACTTATATAAGTATTTCTATGCAGGGTTGTCTGAGCTATCGAAACCCAAGTGATGTTAAAAGACACATCTTTGTGGACGACAGACAATCGGTAGATATTGAGGCAATTGGGCATTTTAGGTTACTATTAGGAACTGGTTCTTATTTGGACTTAAAAGATACTTTTGTAGTATCGTCTTTTAGACGAAATTTGATTTTTGTTTCTGTATTGGACAAATCAGGTTATCATTGTTCATTCGAAAACAGTCAATTCAGTTTATCTTTTAATTCAAATGTTGTGGGAACTAGTTACTTGAGTACTTATGACAACCTATGTTTGCTTGATACAATTGCTTCTTATAATGAATTCTTGCATGTGGAATCACGTGGTACTAAGTGTAAATTAAATAAGGAAAATTCAGCG